TAGTGACTCTTAGTGTTTGTATCTGTATTTTAGATATATTTGCTGTCTCCCTGTCTTGTGGGGTGGGATTTTGTACTGTACGTCCAGTGGAACCCAGGTGAGTTTTCCTTATACTTCTGAGCTGTATGCTCTAGGCATGTCCCTTTTGTGGGTATCCCTTTTGTGAGTTCTTTGGGCTCTCATGTTGTGATTGGATCTAGATTGTTGTTGGCCCGTTCATGGAAGGACCCTCCTCTCAGGTTGGGTAACTGTGAGGCTCAACCACAACCATGTTGTGTGAGTTGTTGTACCAGTGCTGACAGGTCAAAACAAAACACAACCAAACTGCCAGGAAACAAACAAGAACTTACAAAATATCTTTACAATCATAATGGAAAGAACCCAAGAGAAAGTCGAATTGGGAGAGCAAAGCAAGAACACAAATACTAAAGCAGCCCGGCCGGGCGTGGCTCAGCAGTTGAGCGTCGACCTAGGATCCAGGCTATCGGTGTTCGATTCCCGGTCAGGGCACATGCCCCGATTGTGGGCTCGATCAATGACTCTCTCATCATTGATGTTTCTAGCTCTCTCTCTCATTCTCTTTTCCTCTCTCTGAAATCAATAAAGATATATTTAAAAAAAAAAATACTAAAGCAAAAAATAGAGAGAGAAAAGGATATTATTGCTACTAGTAAAAATAAAATAAAATAAAATAAAATAAAATAAAATAAAATAAAAGTTTTAAAAATAAAGAAGTTACTGGGAGATTAAAGGGGTAGAGAAAAGATTCTGAAAGGAAAGAAGGGAGAGCATAAAAGGATAGAGAGTAGAAATAGGAAAATGATTGAAAAAGGAAAAAAAGAAAAAGACAAACACAAACAAAAAGACAGGAAGACAGACTAAAAGGGGGAAGGGGGAAAAAAGGTTATGCCAGTGGAACAAGAAGATAGGGAGAAGTAAAGCAAGGGCAGGGAAGGAGGCCAATACAAGATATGGAGGAACAATAGAGAAAAGCAATAAATGTACTGATTATGATGATAATATCCCAGTAATAAAGCAGACAATATCAAGAAAATCTTGATAATAGAACAAAAACAAAGAAAAACAAAAGAAAGGGAAAAAAACAAGCAAAGCAAAGCAAAACAAATCCTTAAAAAAGTTAATTAAAAAATTAAAATCAATTTAAAAAATTTAAAAAGTCAACCAGGTGAGTTTTGTCTGGGCAGCTTATGTTGTCTGAGGCTCACTGTTTTGTATGCTGATGTGGGGTCTCCTGGGAGGTACTTGTGTATCAGCCAATGTGAGGAGCTGTCTAGGTTTGGCCCTGGTGTCCTTATGTAGCTGGTAGGTCTGAGGCTCCCCCGTCAGCTATTTTGCCTCCTCTTTGTGGTTGCCTGGTCTTTCTCCAGAGTCTTCTGAAGAGAGCCTAGGATGCCGGTCAGCTAGTGTAGCTCAGCCTATTGCTCCCCTTACTTAGAGGTTTCGCTGTCAGGTACTCATTGTGGGGAAGTTAGTCGCTGCTTCAAAGCCAACTCCTCTGTTTCTACCAAATCTTCCAATTCTATTTCCCCATACACTGGCCTGCTGCAGGTTCAGATTGAGTTCAGACTGTTGCCTTTTCTGTGTGGACAGTTTCATTGGTCTGGGCTCAGTGGGTGCAATCAAAAGAGACTCCAGTGAGGATGTTGCCTGCCCAGCCCCAAAAAGTGGGTTTAAGCTTTTCCTTCAATTCCCAAACAATAGTCCCTTAGTGTCTTATTCTTGTAATGTCCTCCTGTGAACTGTTCTCCCTTCCACCTTAGGACTGTGCCCTGCAGGGGGATATCTGGGGCTTCAGTGAGCTGAACCAGCCCCTTTCCTATTGGGGGTGGTGCTCCCAGGCTGCGGAAGAGGCAGGCGGGCTCTGCCCCTCCTTTCCCAGATCTGGTTGGCTGATTGCACGGAGTGCATTAATTTCAAACTCTCCACAATGCCGACACAAATCCCAGCTTTGGCTGGTCTGTCTCCCCAGTGCAAGGCAGGAAGGTGGATGCCCTTTCAGCAATCAAAAATGCACAAAGCAACAAATAGGCAGAGAACCTGCTTTGCAAGGATCTGGCACCCTTGCACCTCAGATCCAAGCAGGAGGGGTCACAAAGTCAGTCCCACACAGGTCTCCTGCACAGCTGGTCTCAGAAAAGCTGGGGCAGCTCCATGCATGCTAGTCAGGCTCCTTTCAGAGCAGGTCAAAAATCCCTGATTTGCAACACCCGCAGCCGTGGTCCCTCTCTCTGGTGGGGGGGAGGGCTCTCTTCCCCTTCCCTGCGCCACACAGTTCAAATGCTTTCTGGGGCTCTACACAATGCTTTATAGGAAAGCAGAGGGTCCCTTTAGGTCACTGCTGAGTGCAGTCCCCTGGCCCCATTCTATCTGGAAGCCATACACTTCAGGACAGACTTTCCTGCGGTCAGCACCTGGGGTGAATTTCTCCTGTCCCAGCTGCCGCCTTTAGGAGCATTGTTTCACTGGGAAGGTGCGGCCCCCTCCTCGCAGGCACACTGTTCCCCCAGCTCCCTCTGCCCACCCTGCACGGGCTCTCCTTCCGCTCTCCTCTGCTCGGGGTTTGAGATCCCAGCTTTTGGATGACAGTCCACACTCCCAAGAGGAGGGAGCTTTGCAGCCTCTAACCCTTGGGCCTCTCGGCCCAGCACTGGCTTCAGGGGGACTCCCCCTTTCTACATCCCCCCCTCTCTTACCAGACTCTATGTTTCTTCAGTGCTCCTTACTTGAAATATTTCCAATCAAGTATATTTCCCTTGTTTTCCCACGCTGGCTACTGTAAATCCAGCCTATGGCTGGAAGCAAGTGTGCTCTGCTTCTTGTCAGAGTGCTGCTATCTTCTCTTCCCTGGAAGTGGACGATAATTGAGTGTTGATTGCTATTGGCCCATTTGTTTGTGGGGTCAACCCACAGGCTAGCTTACTATGAGAATCAACCCCAATCACAGTGTGTAAGCTGCTGTGCAGATGCTGACCACACAAAGTGGAATTTGCCTTTGCAGAGTCTGGTGCCTGCTGAGATCTCCCTTTGGATATGCCACTTGTGAAGCTAATTGGAAACTTCTCTGATGTTGTCTGAAGCTGGCCTCTGGGTATGCTGGTTCTGGGGCCTCTTGGGAGGGACTCTGATGTAGGCCAATGTCAGATGCTGCCTGTGATTGACCCTGGGCAACCTGTCTGGAGCTACAAAGCAATCCACAGTTTGCTGGCTGCCTCTGCTGGCCCTAAATGTGCATGGGAAGGACCAGGATATGTACCAAGAACAGCTTTTACCAGCACCAGGCCCAAGGACAGCTCAGTAAAAGTCCCAAGGCACCCTTATATCCACCTCTACCTGCTGGGTGCCTGTTCGACTCAGTCACTGAAAGAGCCCCTGGCAGTACTCAAGTTGCATGAGGTAGGTTCTCAGTGAGTCACCACATAGGGGTCAGTGGCCTTCACCAGAATGATACCAGGTTCAGCTCTGTGCCAGTGCTGGGTCTGAGGTCACTCAGCAAATGTCCCAGGGTATACCAAGTCTAGCTGCCCCTGACGGGTGTCTGCAGACCTTTACGGTGGGCCAGGGTCTCCGGGAGTTGTCAGAGTGCGCTAGCAGAGTTTATCAGGCCCAAACAGACCAAGATTTGTCCACGTGAAAGGAGGGCTCTGAACTGGTTGGGCTTGCAAGGGAAAAATGGCCCTTGTCCTAGAGCCACGCAACTCAATCTGTCCAAGATTCTGCCCAGACCTTGGCAGGGTGGGGCCACCAGGAGTTGAGAAGGTGGAGCTAGAGGAACTCCGGTGAGGAGCAGGTGCCAGTGAAGTTCACAGGCAAGTTGAGGGGAATGGTCCCTGCCCCAGAGCCACATCACTGAGTCCCTGACACCCCCTGAGTCTACCCAGACCTCTACACCCCAGGCCAGGCAGCTAACTACTCAACAGGGTATAAGCTCGGCAGGGTGGAACAAAAGGGAGCGCAGAGGGTGGGGCTATTGCTTTCCCCCAGGCTGATGCCCTATGGAGGGGAGTGCTCCACCCAAGAAAGATGGCATCTGCGGTGTGGGAGAGTGACTCAGCACAGGGGTCCTTGTGGCTGTCCCCTCAGCTCTCCCCACAGCCACAAACTTCAGTCTCTCCTCATGTGACTCCAGCCCAGGACAAGTGGCTCCAAAAGAGATTCTGTGTGTTGGCCCTTTAAGAGGGCACCTGTGTCTCTAGCAGACTCCCATCTCTCCCTAGAAGACAGAAGCCCTGCTGATTTTTCACAGCCAGATATTATATGGGTGCCTCTTCTTGGCTCTGCTGCTCTGGGCTGGGGAGCCCAGCGTGAGGTTGAGACCCCATGCTCCTCAGGGGGAACCTTTGCAGCTGAGAGATCACTCTGGAATCTCAGCCGCCCCTCATGGGAGCGGGGCAAGTCTGCTCAGAGGAAGGGGATCGGCCCTTTTTGTGTCTCTGCCCTTCCTACTAGTCTCGACATGACTTCTTTTGCAAATCCTTAGTTATAAGACTTCTATTCCCTATTGGTATTTCCTTTTGCCACTCTTAAATAAAATTCTTTCACTCAAATTCTTATCTCAGGTTTGCTTCTGGGAAAATGCAAACTTCTGGGAATATATCCCATAAATTATCTTTACACTTATGCAAAATTGACACATATTCAATTTATTAATTCATTATTGTTTTAATCATCAGAGATTGGAAATAATATATCAAAAGGAGACTGGTTAAATACATTATGATTCACCAACACAATACTATTAAGCTGTATAAAATGAAAGAGTATGTCTTATACAAAACAATGTCTGAGCTGTATTAATGAAAAAAGCATGATGCAGAGGAGTGTAAATGACATGTGCTATCGTTTGTGTGTGTGAGCTTGCATATGCCTGGAGTCTTTGTGAAGACCTAAAAACACATCGACTTGACCGCCCTTCAGAAGTGACTTAGATGGCAGGGCAATCAGGATGGAAGGGCGATTTTTGACTTTTGACTTGTGCTATGAACAGGTTTAGCAATTCAAAAAATAAAAGTAACATTAAAATAATAAATAAACGAGTAGATAAAAGGAGGTGTATCGCTGCTTATTGGACGTTTTTAGCTCTGGTGTGGGATGGGTTTGGACAGGCTCCTGTTGGCTGGCCAGGTCCTGGCTCTTGCCTGGCTTCTGCACGTGGTCTTGGTCATAGCCGTCCAAGCCTCTGCAGGTCCGTGTGCTCGCCCACGAAGGGAGTTCTCACTTCCTTCAACAGGGAGGGGATCTGTTGCCTTCCCTTTGAGTTCTCCCACCAGAGCTGCCATCACCTCTATGCTGGAGGAAGGCTGAATGGCACCTTCACCCACTCGCGAGTCCAAGCAGTTCCCTGGGCCTGAGGGGGTTTGCTGAAGCCACTTGGCCCCCCTGCAAGAGGCGTCTGAGTCACACACCACCCACACACTGGTGCTCACACTCGCACACACACAAATGGAAATGGAAACCTAAGCAGGTCTTTCCTTAGTGAGACCTCACCACCCCAGTCTCTGAACGGACAGACGTGTCTGTGTAGCAGCTGCGCGCTGGTCTAACCAAAGTCCTGCTTGCTCAGGAGACGCCACTCCACTCGGCAGGGCAGGAGCAGTTACTGGGGTGGGGCAGCTTCAGAGGCAGCTTCATTCATCGTGTCCTTGTACTTCCTCTTGAAGAAGCCGAGCTGTGGGACAGGGACAGAGGAGTAAAGGCCACCGAAGCCAGGGCAGCAGGTGAGGGCCATGCAGACCAGGAGGGGAGACAGAGGGACAAGAGGGACAAAGAATAACGTGGCAGAGTGTAAAGGGACCTGGGGAAAGCTGGCAGAGGGAGATGGCATCGCTCTCGGGGCCAGGAAAGAAGGAAGGTGAACCGTAAGGAGAACGGCCCCTGATGTCATGGTCCCTCTGGACCAGGGGGCGCGCTAAGGGCTCTGCACGTATTAACTCCATTACCTTCGCCAAATGGCTGTTTCCTCTCATTTTACAGCTGAAGAAGCTGAGGCTCTGCGATTTGCCAAAGGTCACACAGCTGGCAGCTCTGCTGGGCCTCAAGCCCCGCAACAAAGTTGCGAGTGAGAGGCAGTGAGGGGGTGGGAGCAGCAGGAAGAGGGCGCCCGGGGCATACCTTGTAGAGGGCGGCCGTGATGAGGGCCAGGAGGGCCAGCCCGCCCGCAGAGCTGCCCGCGATCAGCGGCACAGGGTCATGTACTTCATACGGCTCCACTCCCGTCTCGGTCTGGGGCAGGGAAGGGGAAGAGAGGGATGTGTCAGGGGACAGACTCTGCACTTCTGGGGGTTCCCTAGCCAGACCTTGTATACACCCTGGACCTAGTAGCTAACCCCTCCCCATGCCCCCAGCGCCAGCCTTCCCTCTCCCTCCTCCCCCAACCTCTCTCAATCTCTCTCCCCCCCAGACATCTCCACAATCCCAGCCTCCCCTCCTCCTTCCAGTAGTCCCTCTGTGCCCAAGACAGATACCTGGGCCCTCACAAACGTCTCCTGTCCTGGGAGCAGGGCAAACATCAGGTCATCAAACAAGATCTCCGCTGTGCTCACAACCTGAAGGTGGTTGTGCGAAGTCTGTGGGAGAGAGAAGTGGGAGCTGGACTCGTGGCCCCTGCAGCACCACGTCTGGACCAGCTGAGCCTCGGCCCCCACTTACCTTGATATACCAATCAAAGGAGAGGTTGCCTTTGAGGGTGACACTGAATTCTTCCTGGCTGTCGAAGGACTGGATGTCACACTGGATTCTCTGGCACACAGCAATGGAGCAGTTCTGGAGAAAGGGGGAGAGAGGGGAGATGACTGAGAAAGGTGGGTGCAGAACACGCTCCCAGCACTCTGCCCACTCAGTTGAGAGACGGTATCGGGCACCAACGAGGAGACGGTGCTGAGTCTGCATGAAGCTGGGGTTACACGTATTCTTACCAGCACTGGGGTCTTCTTAAGCTTAGCCAGGAAGTCGGAGTGAGGGGGGATTCGCTCCTCGGTGTGGCAAGTATTGGACAGGTTCTGAGGAAAGAGACACGGTGAAGGAGAAATGAGGGCTCCTGGGTCCACCCTGAAGGAGTGTGAGATGTCCTAGGTCCAAGAGAGGGTCAGAAATGGCTCCAAAACCCAACAGAGGAAACAGATGTTAGGAAAGACTAGGGCTGCGGAGGGGAGAGTGAGGTGCGCTCCTCAGGCCCGGCTGGGCTTACCGGGGAGAAGACGAGCTGGGTGGAGCGCCACACGGCCACCTGGTTCAGCTGGGTGGGGATCCAGAAGACCACACTGATGGGGAGGCCCCTCCGCCCCAGGTTGTTGAACTGCAAGGGGTTAGGGGGGCGTATCAGGGCTCCGGCCTCTGCAGCTGCAGCCTCCACGCCTGCCAGCCCAGGACCCCTGAGAAGGCCTGAGACCCAAGCGCCCCGCCACCTGACGCTTTCTGGGAGGCAGTCGAGTGTAGCAGCTAAATGTGCGTTCCAGAGCCAGGCAGGCTGGTCCCAAGCAGCGGCTCCTCCGTGGTGAGACCACGGGCACGTCCTGCTAACCTCTCTGAGCCTGTTTCTTTATCTGTAAGCGGGATAATGGCAGGGCCTCTGTCACAGAGTCATTGTGAAGATAAAGTAAATGAATGGTGCCCGTGTGTGTACACTCGGCCCTCTGTATCCACGCTTCTGCATCGTTGGGTTAAACCAAGCGTGGATGGACAATAATATTCGGGAGAAAATGCTACGTGGCTGCTGGCGTGTGTGCTATGCCTGTGATGCTTGCCCAACATGCTCAGACTTGCTTTTCTTGTCATTAATCCTTAAACAATGCAGCCTAACAACTGTTTACATAGCACTTACACAGCATTCGGGGTTCTGAGAAATCTAGAGGCGATGTGAAGGATCCAGGAGGATGTGTGCAGGTTATATGCAAATACTACACCATTTACCTAAGAGGTTCCAGCATCGCTGACTTGGGTAATGGGGGAATGCTGGAACTAATCCCCCGCGGGTACCGAGGGATGCCTGTATGCACACACATGAGTGAGAGCGAGCTTGGGCAGAGCCTGGCACACAGCGGGCACCGACACACGCTTCCCATCACTATTCTACACCCCAGCATATGGGTCTCCCTCCCCCTCTCAGCTCCCCACCTGATACTGATGGTTTATAACGTGGCTGGTCTTCTCTGAGGCTGTGAAGTTGAGATATTTGGTGGAGGCCTCAAGGCTGGTGGTAGAAAGAAGAAGGGGCAGGAGGTGACAGAACATCAGGAGTGTTCTGGAAGGGGTCTCTCAGGCTAAGTGTGTAAGGGGTAAACAGGCACATGGGTAATGCAGCCCTGAGAGGCTGCGAGCAGGGTGGTGGGCAGGGAGCAATGCACAGACCCATGCGCACATGCACAGACACAAATGCACACACACACACACGCATGTGCACCCTCAGACACACACAGGCACACGTGCACAGATCACACACACAGATGCACAGCGGGCCACGTCCAGCCTGCAGTGAAGCAGAGGGAGCGCTCTGGAAGCCAGCACCTGGTGACCACCATGTAGACGGCGTATTTCACAGGCAGCTCCAGCTGGAATTCCGTTTTGTTGGTCCTCGGCATATTGTTGTCACTGAAGGGAGACAGAGAGCTCTTTCCTCCTCCCTCTCCCTCTTCCTCCACCTCAAACCAACCACCAGCTTCTGTTCTTTCTGCACCCTAAACACCACTGTTCCTACCCCCTGCCTCCCCCTAGCCCAGGCCCATCCCTACTCCCTGGACGTCTGTGATGCCTTCTTCTCACTGGGCCTTGAATTCAAAACTGCCCCTGCCCCAAACCCCAGCCCTCCTGGAGGGTGATCTTTCTACCATGCAAATGTGAGCTTGTCATTCCCAGGTTAAACTGCAGATTTTCTAACAGCACCCATCAGCCAGTTTATAACACTGCCAATCTCTCACCCGCTCCTTAAATGTGCGTAGGCAATGCTCCGCGGTCCAATCCCCCCGTCTCCAGGCTTTGCTTGCCACACTTGTCCTTCATTCTGTCGCCACACCCACCCTCAGTTTATGCTTTTATTTGGCTAACTCACAACCTAAACACATCTTCTTCGGGAATCTTCTCTGAACACCAAGCTCCCAAGAGCACAGGACATAGCTCATTTCATACTGTATTGTAATCACCAGCTTTCCTGTCTGTCTCTGCCTCTAAGTTATAACCTCTGTGAGGACAGAAACCACAGCTGTCTTGCCCATCCCTGTCCCACCAGCACTGGGCTCAAGGCCTGGCACATGGCGGGTGTTCATTCAGTGTTTGTTAAATGAATGAGCTGAAACAAGACCCAGCGGGGAGAGGGCAGTGTTCCGCCCTGGGCAGAGGCTGTGACCTAAAGCAGAGGATGCCTGTGGGAGGCCGGGCACAGCGTACCTGGTCACGTTGGCTTTGAGAAGTAGGCCTTTTCCAAGGGAAGCATCAGAGTCCACATCCAATGTGATATTAAAGGTGACCTGGAGTTGGAGAAAGGAGAGACTTAACAAGAATAGGAGAGAAGAAACAACCCAAATGTGCATTAACTGAAAACTGTGTAAAATGTAGGGACTCCATATAACAGAATATTACTCAGCAGCGAAAAGGAATGAAGTTCTGCAACATGGATGATCCTTGAAAACATGCTGCTGAGTGAAAGAAGCCAGTCACAAAGGACCACACACTACACGATTCCGTTGATGTGAAATGTCCAGAATAGGTGAATCTAGAGTCAGAAAGAGGGGGAGAGGTTGCCTGGGCCTGGGAGAAATAGGAGGACTGGGGCTGATGGCGAAGGAGAGTAGAGTCATTTCTTGGGGGTAAGAAAATACTCTAAAATTGATCGTGGAGATGGATGCACAACTCTGTGAACAACCTAGGAACCACTGAATGTGAATACTTTAAATGGGTAAATTGTGTGGTATATTAATTACATCTCAGTAAAGCTGTTTCTCAGAAAAGGAACCTTTACATTAGGAAGGAGGAAAAGAAGCAGGGAAGGTGAGGCAGAATCCGCAGCCTCACCTCCGAGTCGCCTGGGAAGATTGGGTAGTTTATGCTGCAGCTGCCACTGTGCAAGCCCCCGGGCCCTTGGGTGGAGGGGTCAGACCCACAGGTCACACGCCAGGATCGCCACGAGTGCTGGCTCTGGAAGGCAAGGGAGGCAGAAGTGATGATGTCAACCATAGGCCATGGGGACCCGGAAAGCAAAGTCAGGTGGAGCCCGAGAAGAAGTTGGCTACCTGGACTCCTGACACTGTCCGATAGGACAAGCCAGGCGGGTAGAAGAAGGCAACCTGAGTCTTGTAGGAGTCTTCACCCTGGTTTCTCACAGTCACCGTCATGTTGAAGTTCCGGGGGCCACCCACCACCAGGGTGTGCAGGCTGTGGGGGGGACAAGCCAGGCATGAAATGCTGAGGGCTTCCCTGCAGGAAGCCTGCTCTAGTGGGCAGGAGAGGTGGACACTTGGAGAGAGAAGACAGTGGATGGGACAGACACGCAAACACCTCCGTGGCAGCTGCTCTGTGCCCAGCTCCTCGGGGGCCAGGGGAAGACCAGGACACCAGGTCTCAGTGTGGGCTTGGAGGTGGCAATGAGGAAAAGAAACTCACTTCATGAAACTAAAGGTGATGCTGAGGTCATCCTCGCAGATGCTATCATTGCCACAATTCTTCTCAAAGGGAAACTGCAAAAATCAGAGTAAGATAAAACATAATGAAAGGAAATAATGAAATGATGTGAAATGAAACAATAAAATGAGTTTCAACAATCTTGGCCTCTGGTCCCTTCCATGCCCTGCAGGACCCGGACTCCAGGACTCACCGAGGCTGTGAAGAGCGTCTGAGCATCCACAGCCAGCACTGGCCGCAGGTTCCCAAAGGAGGACAAGGGCTGCCCCATCAGAGAGAAGTTGAGGCGCAGGACAACGGGGGTCACTGAGTCCTCTACACAGACCTGAGAGATAGTGGCGGTTTGGGGGTCTGCCTTCTCAGCCTCCCAAGGCCACCCCCTGCTTGGAGGACCCAGGAGTGTGGTTACTTCCTGCTCACCGGTAACTGTAGCTTTAGTATCTCACATTTCTGACTCAGACTCAAGACCTGTGTCTGTCTGCGTGTGCTGTTCTTTGTCTCATCAAAAATGATCCGAGGATGTTGGCGAGTGGAGTCCAGAGCCAGGTCATATGTGACAGTGCTCTGGATCTCTCCTGAAGAGACAGGGCATCACAGTGGTGAGGAGCCTAGCTTTGCAGTCGGACAGGCAAGTTTTAGGCCCAGCTCCTCTGCTCCCCAGCTGTATAACTTTGGGCATTATCTGACCTCTTTGAGTCTCAATTCCTTTTTTTTTTTTAAGTATTTCTCTATGGTTGCTTGGCACTTCCTCCCTTTGCCCTGTGAGAGAGGTTGCTGCCAGGTATATTTTAACATGGGGGGGGGCGAGGTTTGTTTTTGTTTGTTTGTGTTTTTTTAAAAACATATCTTTATTGATTTCAGAGAGAAGGGAGAAGGAGAGAGAAACATTAATGATGAGAGAGTCATCAACTAGCTGCCTCCTTCACACCCCCTAATGGGGATCGAGCCCGAAACCCGAGCACATGCCCTGACCGGGAATCGAACCATGACCACCTGGTTCATAAGCTGACACAACCACTGAGCCACTCTTGCCAGGCTCAATTTCTCACTTTTAAATTGAGGACAATAATTGTACCTTCCCAGTGGCAAAAATGAAATGGTATCTACAAAACACTTAGCACAGTGCCTGCCACACAGTAAGTGCTCAATAAATGGTAGCTACTCTGTTACATAGTAGAAAACTATATTTTTTCTTTGTCTTTGGCCTTCAGCAATTTGTGCCTTGGTCTAGTACAATGTATAATGTGTAATGTACCATGGTACAGTGTCCTGTATATTTACCCTGCTTTGATTGTTAGAGAATCTTGATCTTCCATCAGTTTTAGAAAATTCTTCATCACTGTTTCTTTAACTGTTGTTTCTTCTTTATTCTCTCTCTCTCCCTTTGGAATTCCAATTACGTGTTTATTAGACCAAGCCCCATACATTTCTAATGTTTTCTTTTTCCTCCTTTTCTCTCTCTCTGTTAATCTGGATATTTTCAATTGCTTTACCTTCCAGTTCACTAATTCTCTGTTCTGCTTCTCATCTGCTCTTAAATCTACATATTGAATCCTTAATTTCAGTCAGTGTGTTTTTCACTGCTAGAGTTTCCATTTGGCTCTATTTTATGAATTTCAAGTCTTTTCTGAAGTTCTCCATCATTTTGAATTCCTGTCCAATAACTCTAATTTATGAATCGCCTGTGGGTCTATTTCTACTGTCCACTGTTTCTCTTGGTTGCTGGATTCAATAAACATTGTCCCAATAGAAAGAACAAGTTGTTTACAAAGGCCCCTCCTGAATCTCTGTTTCCCCAGCAGTGGGCAGCTGCTGAATTTCTGCTCAATTCTTTAGCTCTCCAGTTGCCGTCGTCAACTGAGTTCCATAGAGTACTGACCTGCACATGCATGGCTTAAGAGTCAGCCAATGACTTGAGAGGAATTTCTATGTAGATTTGGGGGTACTTTCTCGCGATCCGCTACTCTCCAAGACTGCTGTCAATTTCTAGCCATGCTGGCTGCCCCAAGCTCTGATTGCTGTCTCCTCAGGCCAGTAAGATTACTGCTAGGAACGTAATTTTATACCTCCCCCTATATCTCTCTAGTATCACCACTACTATTCCCCACCCCAAGCACAATGTCATTCTTTAAAAGTAGAAACAAAGGAAGAAGTCAAGTTTGTTGTGATAAAATGTGTGTCTGAATGCTTTGTAATTTGTATTTAACTTTATCAATACAAACTCCCTTTAAATGAGTTATCAGTTACAAAAAAAAAAAAAAATTCAAGTTAATCCACAGGTGCGGGGCCCTTGGTTATCTGGAGAACTGAGAGAGTAAAGGAGTAACACTTGCTCACTTCTTTGATGGGGTTTGCTGAGCCTCCCGACCCAGCAGGGGAATCATCTACTTGCTCCAGCCATGCTTGGAAAAGGCTGTTGGAGCCTGTGAGCACTTTGCTCTGAACTGCCAAGCAGGCTGAGAAGGCTGGGCCACCTGTTAATGTCCCCACTCACTTAACCTGTTGAGACTTCCCCCGCAGCCTCACCTTCTCTCAGCCGGTCCCGTGTGATCTTATGCACACGGAGGCAGATTCTGACCTCCCCAGCAGTCTGGCCTGTCACCACATTTTCCTGACACTCAAACACATTTTTCGCCACTTCCCGGGGTGTGAAGTCCATGGTCACCTCAACTCTCAGCACAGGCTGGGACCTGTAGGGACACCAGAGGGCCATCAGGGGCCTTCAAAGAGCAAAGCTGTTCCTTAAAGGGAAGATAACTTGGTATGCTCTGAGGTTCTCACCTGAGAAGCAGCACATGCCCCTGGGCCCCTACAGCCAAGTCCATCAATCCATCCATTGTGAGGTCCTGGCCCCCACTCAGTGACTGACCGAAATACTGGAGCCCGGGGGAGAGCTTAGAGCCTGCAATCCGCTGAGCATAGAAAAGAAGAGGGGAGGAAAGGGAGTGGGAAAGAATAGGGAAGTGTGTAACTCAGTTGCCCAGGATCACCCAAGGAGTGTATGGGCTCCATTCAAGTCTCATCCCTAGTTGCTCAAGGAATTAGGGCAACCATTCCACTTTAGATCACAGTCTTGAGATAACACCCAAAGTTTCCATTAATTACCTGGGGTTTTTAGGGAAAACAAATAGTTTTACAGGAAAGAAGTGGCATAACATACTATTTGACTCAGCAGAATCTCATTTACATTGTCAGGATAGTGCAAACATCAAATACTTATTATTTATTTATTTATTTATTTATTTATTTATTTATTATTTATTTCTTTTAATCTTCACCAGAGGATATTCTTTCCATTGCTTTTCAGAGAGAGTGGGAGGGAGGGAAGGAAGAAGAGACAGAGAGAGAGAGAGAGAAACATCAATGTGAGAGAAAAACATTGATTGGTTGCCTGTCGCACAAAGGGATCAAGCCTACAACAGAGGCACATGCCCTTGACCAGACTCAAACCCTTGGACCCTTCAGTCTGCAGGCCAATGCTCTAACCACTGAGCCAAAGTGACTAGGGCACAAACACTGACTGATCTAACCAAAATTATCATATAAATATAAGGAGTGGGGCAGAGGGGCGGAAGGCATGTGAATACATGGCAAAAGGGGTCTGAAAAAGCTCAGTCCTCACCTCTCACAGTGGGAAGTCCATGCTAAAACAAAAATTAAGAAGCAGCAAAAGAATCACGTCATTGAGAATCATGGGGAATCATTGCAAGAGCTAAGAGTGGCTTCTTCGAGACCAGGGGAAATAGAAGAAATCACAGTGTAGGTGTGGGCATTGCTGTTTTCCATAATCAGCCTTTAAGAACAATTTTGACTCTCTAGTCTATGTGCAAGAGTAACACTGAAAGAGTAACAGCCAAATAAAGAGAAATTTTAACTATACACTTTTAAATGGTTAAAATGGTGAATTTTATGTCATGTATATTTTACCACAAATTTTTAAGTGATTTTGTCAATTGAAAGGAAGCATGGGTGCTGGAAATTTGCTATATCTTAATCTAAGTGGCGCTTACTCAGGTTCACAGACATGTAAAAATTCATCATTTAAGGTCTGTGTGTTTACTGTGTGTACATTATACCTCTTCTCTTTTTTTGAGAAAATTTATTGTATTCTGTTGAGATGAAGTTTTGTTTTGAAATTGTGTGTAATGTGGTAATTGGGAAATCCACAGCCTATTTGCTTGTCTAAACACTGAGCATCCTCTGCCCCAATCATAGGAAAAGGCAAGTGAAAAATGCAAAGCCCTAGCCAGCATTGCTCAGTGGTTAGAGTGTTGGCCCACAGACTGAAGGATCTGGGGTTTGATTCCAGCCAAAGGCACGTACTTTGGTCATAGGCTCGATTCTGGCCCTGGTCCAGGCGCCTGCAGGAGGCAACCAATCGATGTGTCTCTCTCACATTGATGTTTCTCTCCCTTTCTCCCTCTCTCTCTCTCCCCCTTCCACTCTCTCTGAAAAGCAACGGAAAAAATATCCTCAGGTGAGGATTTAAAAAAAAAAAAAGCAAAGAATAGAACAATAGGATACCATGGTCCTTTTTGCATTTGTTCTTAATTCCAAAGTCTGTGGGGTATTCAGGCACGTGTGAAGACACACTGAGGACCCTCCCCTTACCCTTGCTTTCCTCTGTGGGGTGTTACAGTGCAGATAAGAGGAGGGAAGTAGTGCTCTCACTGTTTACTTTAGATTTACAAATTGGTACAAGCATGTAAAGTTTCTGTAATAAAAAAGGTAAAACCAGAGCCTTCAAACTCCATTTACACAGAGAAGCAAAGACACCAATGAAAAGAGGCATAATTATACTGTTCACACGATTGTGGAGAGAGGCTCCACTACACAGAGAGAAGTGGGCAAGCAGCGGTTCCTAGCCTTGGCTGCAGGAAGGAGCCTGTAAAGAAACTGGGCCACACAGTTCTAGGGTGGGCAACTCAGCTGGGGTAGAAAAGAGTCAGAACTGTAGTTTCCTCCGGAACGGAGTGTGGTCAGAAATTGACCGAGAAGGGGCAGGAGGGAACTTTTTGGAGTGATCAGGAGGTTCTGTATCTTGACAGGATATAACAGGTACATGCATTTGTCAATGGCTAAAGATTTGTGCATTTCCTGTTCATAGATTTTATCGAGAACAACAGTAAGCAAATATTGAAATCTAGTTAATGATCCATGTGCTGAAATGTTTACAGGTAAAGTGAACTGATGTTGCAACTTACTTTGAAATGCACTAAAAATAAGATGGACTGTAGAGAAAGATTGGATATGTGATCAAGTAAATCTAGTAAAATGTTCATTGTAGATTCTAGGTTGTAAATATACGGGTGTTCACTGTACAATTCTTTCAACTTTGCTTGCAAATTTGTAATTTTTCTAAATTTCCTGAGAGAGGGGCCCTGGGTGACTGCACAAGTGACAGCCCCTTGAAGCATGAAATCCTGGGAGGGCGACCAACTGGAAGACTTCCTGAGATGGGAGACTTTCATCTAAAACCAAGATGACCTGCTGAGACTGGGTCTAGGGGGACAGGAGTGGCTCTGTCCCGCACTTCCAGCCTCCATCTATCACCTCAAAGCCTTAATCCTTCACCTGTACAGTGCAGGTGTTGGGCCCCCATGCACCTCCCAGAGTTGTGGAAGGAATTAATCTAGAGTTGAGGAGTCTCTCACATGTCTGGGAAGTGTGTTATTATTTTTAAAGGTTCTGAAAGGAGTAATGGGAGAACCAATCTGCAGCTGTGGGAACGTTGATTAGAAAGAGGCATATCAGCAAAGAGGCTACGGTCATGACAGGGACAGTGATGGGGGCTCACCTGGCTGTGGGAGGGGTTGATGCGCAGTCCTGAGGTTCCATGAAATAGGTAGACAGCACCTTGGTTCTCCTGTTCTCCTGGGGCCCCGATGGCCATNTGTGGGAGGGGCTGATGCCCAGCCCTGAGGTTCCGTGAAATAGGTAGACAGCACCCTGGTTCTCCTGTTCTCCCGGGGCCCCGATGGCCACATCTGTCAGCTTGTCCCCATTCACGTCCCCCAGCACGGTCAGGGCTGCCCCAAAGCGGCCCCAGGGGTGGCCCTGCTCCCCACGGAGAATGACCTCACACTGCCACCTAGCCCTCTGCAGAATAAAAACAGTGCCAGTCCCCAATCCGGACAACCCGTCCACCCCACACCCAGGCCCCCCCAGCCCAGGTCTCATCAGCCACTCACCCCCCGGGGCAAGGGGCACACAGACACCTGGCCCCCCCGAGTCGTTTCGTAGTAATGGGGAGCCCCGATGAGGACCAGGTCAGAGCTGCCATCTCTGTCCACGTCCACGGAGCAGAGAGAGGCCCCGAAGTAGGAGCCAATCTGAAAGAGATGAGGCGAGGATCACATACCTCTTCCCACCTGAAGCAGAGCGTCGGCATTTTCTCCCTGTGAAGAAAACCGCGCCTGCTGGGGAAAGACCTTTGGAGTGCATGTGATCCTTTATATAATTCACGGTAAATTCTCACTCAAATGTGCTGACAGAGGAGCACAGTAGAGTCGATGGCCAGTGGGTAAGGATTTTACCCCAAATGGTGTTGCGGGGAGATGATTACAACAACAGAGAAAAAGGTGGACTGGAAAATACAGACAGAAAAAGCCTGGAAGAGCAGACAGGACATTTTTTCAATACATTGGAAGTTTTTAGGGGGGTAAAAAATCAAAGTTGGTAGTCTGGCTAATAAGGAATCAACTGGCGTGGCTTAAAAATAATTATTACTACCGGGATAGCTTTGTGTGATATTGAGAAATAATGTCTACCTTTTAAAACAATTTCAAAGTATGTTAAAAAAAAAAAGTATGTTCAATGTCAATGTGCAGAATTCACCCACAGGATTCACCCATTTAGTCATTCGCTCATTCATTTACTCATTCATCCAACAAGGTTTGGAGATGCGGAGCCTGCCGGGGCCGGGTGCAGCAGGGCGGCGCGGAGGCAACAGCACAGACCCACAGGCACAGCGGCCTGAAGGGGGGCAAGTCCTCGGGAGGAAAACGGCAGGGGCCAAGACGCGGCTCACTGCAACCCACCCTCTGCGCACACGGCCAACAGGCTTGTTTTGGTGTTAGGTCAGGTTTATCGGGGTCCAATTTACTTACAATAAAATTCAGCCTTCTTGGTTTTATGAGTTTTGACAAAGCACATATGTAACCACGGCCATGGTCAAGATACAGAACAGTTTCAGCACCTCAGAAACACCCCCTCGTGCCCGCTGTAATCATCCTCTCCCTCGGTCACCAGCCCCGGAAACCACTGGTCTTTTTTCTGTCCCTATAGTTTTGCCTTTCCAAATGTTACATACATGGAATTATATAGTATGCAGCCTTTCAGGTGGCTTCTTTCACTAGATAATGCATTTAAGATTCACCCACGGTGTTGCACGTATCAGTAGCCCATTGCTTCTGCCTTCTGGTTACCACTCCATCGGATGCCCCGGTTTCTTTAGCCGTTCCCCAATGAGTGACGCTGGGGTTGTTTCTAGTTTGGGATGATTATGAACGGAGCCACTAGAATCATTCACATACAGGTTGTCATGTAAGCATCTGTCCTTATTTCTCCTAGGTAAATAGCAAGTACCTGAGAGAGAGATTGCTGGTACGGTCACTGCGTGTTGAACTTTTATAAGATGTTGACTGTTTTCCAAAACAGGCATGCCGTTCTCCATTCCGACAGCAATGTATGAGGGGTTTAGTTGCTACACATCCTTGCCAGTCCTTGATATTGCCAGTTGATTTCCTTCTCATGCCAACCATTCTAACACTTGTACAGTAAGTAGTACCTTATTGCAGTTTTAATTACATTTCCCTAATGATTAATAGCATGGAGCAGGTATGTGTTTGTGTGCTTATTTGCCATCCACATATCTTCTTTGGTGAGGTGTCTCTTCTAATATTTTGCTTATTTTTTTATTGGATTGCTTCTTATTGTTCTTGAATTTTAAGAGTCCTTTACATATTCTGGATATGTCCTTTATCAGATATGTAATTAAAAAAAGGAAAATTTACTAATATTTTCTCCCAGTCTGTAACTTATCTGTTCATTCTCTTAACAGTGTCTCTCACAGAACAAAAACTTTTCATTTTAATGAAGTCTTTCTTATCAATGTTTCCTTTATGGGCCGTGCTTATAGTGTTCTATCTAAGAACTCTTTGCCTGACACAAGGTCATGAAGATTTCCTCCTATGTTTTCTTCCACAGGTACTGTAGTTTTAGATTTTACATTTAGCTCTATGATCAGTTTTAAATTAATCTTAATATGGTATGAGATGTGGGTAAAGGTTTTTATTTTCTTTCGTTTTTTATTATGCATGTCCAATTGTTCCAGAACCACTGAACTCTCCATTGAACGGTCTTTGTGCCTTTATTGAAAATCAGTTGACTAACCCTGGTCGGTGTGGCTCAGTTGGTTGGGCATCATCCCATGCACCAAAAGGCTGCCGGTTTGATTCCCAGTCAGGGCACATACCCAGGTTACAGCCTCGATCCCCAGTAGGGGGCATGTAGCAAGCAGTGGATCAATGTTTCACTCTCACATACATGTTTTTTTCTCTCTCTCTCTCCCTCCCTCTCTCTCTAAAAAAGCAATAAAAAATATTTTTTTTAAATAAATTGACTAAAGGCTTTTAGTCAAGATAGTGGAGTAGATAAACTGTGCTCACCTCCTCCTGTGATCACATCAGAATTACAACTAAACTATAGAACAACCATCACTGAGGACCTCCTGAAACTTAGCTGAACAGAAGTCCTATAACTAAGGATATAAAAAAGAAACCATGTCAAGGCTGGTATGGGAGGTGCAGATGAGGAATTGGCAGGTCCCACACCCACAGTGTGGCAATTAAGAATTGGGAGGGATATCTTGTCTGTGTGGGTTCCCTTTGAGGAGTGAGGGGTCCCATTCCCACCTAGGCTCCCCAGCCTGGGAGTACCAGGAAGAGAAGCCCCCACAATATCTGGCTGTGAAAACCAGAGAAGATTGTGTTAGAGAAAGACAAAGGGCTGTTAGATACTGAGGCACTGCTCTTAAACAACCCACACACAAACACACTTGCTCAAAACCCACTCACTCTAAGCTCCAGCATAGGGGCAGCAGCTCAAAAGTGCCAAGGACACATAAGAAGGAACTAAATTGACTAACTCGGGATGAGGGCTGGAGGGGCAGGGGTCAGGGCAACTCTATCCAGGGACAAAAGTGCTGGCAGGCACCCTTGTCCCTTTGTTGAGAGCTCCCCAGCACAGGCGGGTGCCAAATCTGAGCTCTCCAATCACCTGCCTAACACCATTCCGCAACCCTGGTGACTCTCTGAGAACCTGCCCCACCCAACTCCTCTGCCTGGCCCTAGCTTCCTCCAGCAGCGTCTCCACACAAGCAGCCTGCCTCCACTCATGCTTTGGACTTTCCTAAACTCTCTCAAAGGTCCACACACCCCAAATAAACAGTGGCAGCCTCATCATACCTTGCACCTCTTGCTAAAGGCCCAAGCCCGGCATAAAAGGTAACCAGTCTTGGCTTGAAACATAGTTTCAATTAATCAGCCACAAGCCCAGCACAAGTGGCACTCCTCTCAGCTCGCGACATGGTGCCCACCAAAGGGTCCCAAGCCTGACACAAGTTCAACCAGCCTCGGTTCACAGCATAGCCTCTCCCAAGCACTTCCAAGCCCAGCACAAGTGGCATCCAACCACAGATTATTTTGTATCTCCTACCAGGTGGCCCCAAGCCCAGCACAAGTACTAGCTGACTTTGGCCTACACTGGAGCCCATCCCAAGAGGCTCCAAAACCAACACTCCAAGTGGCTGACTTACCACCACACCAGAGCACCACACAATCAATTCCATAAATGACACATCCAAAGGGCAGAGTCAGCTGGCACCAGAGCACTGCTAAAATGACACTCGCTCTGTGGGGTAAGCCCCTACAATAGTTCACTCACTATAGTCACAGCCAAAACTCACAGCCATTCAACCTGAGGGTCAACCCCATCTACTGACATGCCAACTGCAATCAAGGCTCAACTATAGCAGGAGGGCGCACACAACCCACACAAGAGACACACCTGGAGCACCTGGCCCAGGTAACCATGGAGACTGCACCACTGGACCCCATAGGACACCTTCTGTGTAAGGCCATTCTCTCTCAAGACTGGGAGCACAGTAGATCTACCTAATACATAGTGACAAACACAGGAAGTCAGCCAAAATGGGGAGATAATGAAACATGTTCCAAATGAAAAAAACAGAACACAACTCCAGAACAAGAACTAAACAAAACAGAGACAAGCAATCTACCAGACACAGAGTTCAAAACACTGGTTATGCCCTGGCCTGTGTGGCTCAGTTGGTAGGAACATAGTCCCATACACCAGAAGGCTGCAGGTTTGATTCTCAATCAGGGATCATACCGAGGTTGCGGGTTTGATCCCCAGTTGGGACGCATATAGGAGGTAACTGATCAATGTTTCTCTCTCACATTAATATTTCTCTCTTTCTCTCTCTCGCCATCCCTCCCTTCTAAAAATCAATGAACATGTCCTCAGGTAAGGATTAAAAAAAAAAAAACCACCACAGGTTAAAAGTATGCTCAATGAACTTAGGAAAATAGATTAATTCAGTCAGGACTTCAACAGAAAAAAAAACAAAAAAAAACAAAACAGAAATGGAGAACACAATAACTAAAATGAAGAATACATTAGAGGGAATTGAGAGCAGATTAGATGAAGCTGAGGATCAGCAATCTGGAAATAAGGTAGCAGAAAATATCCAATCAAAACAGCAGAAAGAAAAAAAGAATTTTAAAAATAAGGATAGTTTACAGGACCTCTGGGACAACATCAAGCATACCAACATTCACAAAATAGGGGTACTAAAAGGAGAAGAGAAAGAGCAAGGGACTGAAAATCTCTTTGAAAAAATAATGATTTAAAACTTCCTTAACTTGGCAAAGGAAATAGACATACAAGTCCAAGAAGCACAGAGAGTCCCAAACTAGAAGCCTACACTAAAACACATCATAATTAAAATGCCAAAGGTTAAAGACAAAAAGAGAATCTTAAAAGCAGCAAGAGAAAAGCAGTTTATTATCTACAAGGAAGCTCCCATAAGACTATCAACTGATTTCTCAACAGAAACTTTACAGGCCAGAAGGGAATGGCAAGAAACATTCAAAGTGATGAAAGGCAAAGACCTATAGCCAAGATTATTCTACCCAGAAAGGCTATCATTTAGAATCATAAGAGAAATAAAGAGTTTCTCAGACAAGAAAAAAACTAAAGTTCACCATCACTAACCCAGTATTACAGAAATGTTAAAGTACTTCTTTAA